TGTAAGTCCCGGACTAATTTGTGAAGAATTTTAGAAGTCGGGGGTTAAAAGAGTAAGTTTCAGATGTAATTTGAAAAGGGTTTTAGAATTGGGGGCTGCTTGGTAATTTTTAGGATCTAAATTGAAAGGAATTGGGAGTGTTGGGGGCTGAAGTGTAAATTACGGATTTATTTTGAAGAGTTATGAGGAGGGACTGAAAGTGTCAATTTCCCTTGAAGTTTGAATGAACACGGGATTGAACCCGGTGGTATATCATTCATGTCATAAGGTCATCACTCCTAAATGAGAACGAACTCAACAGTTGGTTACCCTCCTGAGACATTTTCCCCGAAAAGTTAAATGAAATAAAAATTGCAAAATTATCAAAGACTGTAACCTTCTTTGGCTATAATGTATATGAAGAGCGTTTCAAAGGGGTAACCTTGTTAAAACATAGTCTATGTTATGCTTACTGTGGTTAACTGTCAATACCTTTCTGCAAAAGGATATGACTGTGTATGAAAGGTATATTTATCAGCATAAACGTTTACCTCAAGGTATATTTTGGTGATATGTCTACAAAAGCAGCATGATATTGTACATATTGATGTTGTATTTTATCCCATGAATTCGATCTTAAAGCTAAGTAAACTCAAAAATCACAGCACTTGTGATTCCACTCGTTTGTAGACTTGTCTAGAATCCATGATACGATAAATCATTTGATTGGAAATGTAAATGTAGTCATGAAATGCGCATGCTTAGTCAAGATTCCCCTAATAAATATTCAAGTGCATTACAAAGTTGTACGTGTATGAATAATGTTCTTTCGTGAGTTATGTTTTGAAGAGAAGCAAGAATGAATCTCATAAAGTCATTAATATCAGTAGGAGATGACGTGAGATTTGCTTTAAATGAGTAAAGGGGAAATGAATCAGGAGGGTAACCAACTGTTACATTTGTTCTCATTTGGTCCCTTTTTTTTTGTACTCAATATACCATCGAACTTGTTGTTTGTATTCACTATAACCCTTTGACCGGCTATCACAGGTCAAAAGTCGGTCAAAATGGTTATGGTGAACATAAACAATAAGTTCGATGGTATATTGAATACAAAAAAAAAAAAAAAAAATGAAAGGAACCAAATGAGTACAAACGCAAAAGTTAATTACCCTCGAGAGTAAGGATGAGCAAAAGGACCGAACCGGTTGGAACCGGCCCGGCGGTTCTATCGGTTCCCGGTTCCTACCGGTTCTTGTCGTGTCTTCAAATGTTGGAACCGGTCCTTGAAAAATAGCATAATACGGTTCCGGTTTTTGCCGGTTCTACCGGTTCCGGTTATATCGGTTCATGTTCCTACCGGTTCCCGGTTTCAAAAATCCACAAAAATAACATCCCGGTCCCGGCCCGATCGGTTCCATTGGGTTCCGGTTCCGGTTTCGGTACCGGTTCCGCCCGGTTCCCCGGTCCATTTGCTCATCCCTACTCGAGAGTCAATTTTCCCCAAAAATATCACCCTAAGGACCAAAATCATACCAAATATTTAAAATTGAACCATTCATAAACCATTAAAAAAAAAAAAAAAAAAAAAAAAAAAAAAAAAAAATTAGATTAAAAACATAAACTTTTACCGACCATAAAGATTACTTTTGCAATTTTGTTTTTTATTATTATTGTATTTAGTTATCGATAAAAAGTTCCATTTTTAAAGGTTGATGGGTCGTCAAAAAACCGCTAAAAGCCATACGATATGAGAAGGTGATGACGATGTTTTTATATGCAACATGTCCTCTTTTCAATGATGATATGATTGATGTGTACTGGAGCCGCTGCTATCAACCGCAGGAACACCAACGAATCATCTCCACCACTCTACACCTATTTCAATCAAGATCAAACCCTAGAACTTCCCTACAGCATCCCTTTCTTCCCATCAATGGCGGCTTGTTTGGGTTCTGTATCGGAAATGCATTCCATACGTACGGTTCTCGAAGAACTTGATGAAGAAAAACAGATGGTTCGACCGGAGACCACGAATTCTAACCCTAACTCACCCACCTCCACCTCCACCTCCATCATGGTGATGCGGCGTAAGGTCGAGAGAATCTTTCCGGTTTATGCACGGGGTAAATTATCTCCAAGATCCGATCCGTCTGTCAATTCGGGCTCGGTTGTGGGTGATTCTATCTGGGATGCTGTTAGAGTAGAGGCCAAGTGTGAGGTATTTGCAATTCTTCATAACTTTTCATGGCAATTCAATGATTTAGCTCGAAATTCCTTTCAATTACTATATGGATTTTGAGTTTCTAATTTCTCTGTTATCGGATAAACTATAGAATTTAATCAATTTATAGTTTATTTGATAGTGGACGATGAAAGTTTAGTGAGGAAAGATGAAATTTGTCAAAGTCAACATGCAATAATTTATCTTTCGGAAAAATAATTGGTACTTCTCTCTAATGTTATTGGACAATCCTTAGTTTCTACAGTCTACTTATAATTGGTGATTGAAAAATTGCTCAAAAAGGAAATTATATGAAAGTGAACTTCTTGAGTTAGTCTCATAATTTGATACTCTCTTTGGCTTTGAAAAAGAAACTCATACAATAATGAATTCAAAAACTTTTTTTTTTCTGAAAGCCAATGATTAAACACAATTTAACAAGATTTGTTTTCTTTATCCAGTTTGTAAAAAGAATGAAAAGTGTAATTGAGGAACATCATACTTGTGTTGATGTCAAATTTTGAAATTTGACTCTTTTTCAAACTTTGATGTGGACTTTTTTATTTGGGTGGATGGAGAAATATCTTGTTTTTCAAGAAAGATGGTATCTTTTTTTCTATATTAAACAAGTTGGAATGATGTTACTTTAGTCTTTATGAGTTCTACTCAATGCCACTATGATTGGTGGAAGTTGTTTATTATAATCCAATTGAAGTAATAATTCTATGTATATATTAATTGGATTGGATGTTTGATGAAAAAATTGCAGGCTGAAAATGAGCCAATATTAAGCAGCTTCTTATATGCGAGCATACTATCACATGATTGTTTAGAGCGTGCATTGGCATTTATTATTGCTAACAGACTCCAAAATAACACATTATTAGAAACCCAATTGATGGATATATTTTGTGATGTAATGGTTCAAAATCGAGGCATCCATAGAGCAATTCGCCTTGATTTACAGGTGATGATTGTTTTCTACTTTGTTTGCATGTGCTCAATTTCAATGTCTTTTTTTTTTTTTTGTTTCTGATTCTATTTTCCTTCCTTTGACAGGCATTTAAAGATAGAGATCCTTCATGTTTGTCTTATTGTTCTGCTCTTTTATACTTAAAGGTATTTCAAATTTCATTTACAAATTCAGTTTCTTTATTGATGTGATATGAAGTGTTGAATTAAATGGTGATTCTTTTAGGGTTTTCATTCTTTACAAACACATCGAGTAGCACATGCTTTGTGGAATCAAGGGCGCAAGGTGTTGGCTCTTGCACTTCAAAGTCGAGTTAGTGAGGTATCATTTTTCATCTCTTATTTTTTAAGTTATTCATCAAACTTTCTTCTTCTTATTTACTAAATGTTACCTTTTTTTTTTTTTTGGTTTCTAGGTGTTTGCAGTTGACATACATCCAGGTATTCTTTCAAAGTAGTAGTTTAGTGAGACTTCAAAAAAAAAAAATACTTAATTTATTTATTTTCTTGAGAAAGCTGCGAAAATTGGAGAGGGGATACTGTTGGATCATGGGACTGGATTAGTTATTGGTGAAACTGCTGTTATTGGTGATAGAGTTTCTCTAATGCAGGTAATTTGGTTTATCCCTTCTGATTCTTGAATTGATATGATGGAATTTGTTAATATAATCTTTTATTATTATTAAAAAAATTGAGGATTAGCAGGGTGTAACATTAGGAGGAAGTGGGAAGGAAACAGGGGATAGGCACCCAAAAGTTGGTGAAGGAGTGTTGATTGGAGCAAGTGTGATTGTACTTGGGAATATCAAGATAGGTGATGGAGCAATGATAGCTTCGGGTTCCCTTGTTCTTAAGGATGTTCCTCAACATAGGTGACACATAATCATGATGAAAATGCATAATTTATTTTCTTGTTTATGCTAATGCTAATATATTATTGTTATTATTATTATATAAAGCATGGCTGCAGGAATACCGGCTAAAGTGATTGGTTATGTAGAAGAGCAAGTTCCATCTTTAACAATGAAGCATGGTATGTGGTTAATGAATATTTTACATTATATAAGGTTTGATGTGATGAGAGACATTGTTGATATTTAGTTTGTGATGTTGGTTGGTTGTGGCAGATGCAAGCAAAGACTTCTTTGAACATGTAGCCATAGGATGTGAGGGAAGATCCATTGGTGAATATGAATACTCCATATAAATTATTATAATCCTATAAACTTAACTTAAGAATGCAGAAATTGGTAATGGTAGTGGAGGAAGTACTTTTGTATACCTGTAAACTCATGATAAATCCCTAGGAGGGACTAGGGTTATGTTATATTCTAATTACACTAATCCCCCTCCCCCCCCTGTTTGAAGGTTTAGGGCCTATTTGTACTGTTGTGTTTGTTATTGTAAAATGGAACAATAAAGTTGCTACATTTCATTATATCATATTGTGAGGAATTAAATGAGACATTCAACGGTTTAAGAAAGTGAATGAAATCTAATTGAAGAAATAATGTTTATGTTTGAATATGATTTCTGTCTCATTCTTGGTTTTAGGCGAAAAGACACACGACCAAATTGTGCAAATATCAGTAGTAAAAAGAAAGTGATAACTTAGCAAAACAGAAAGAAAATGGCAGAAAAGAAAGCTAAATAAATGCATATACACCAAATTGTGGCTCCTATGAATATGATAAATTGATGATACAAAAACTCAAGGACGCTCTATCCATCACACTTCCAGTTAATCTTTAGATGTGTGTTGTATATAATTTTCCTCTCTCTGATAGTATAATATAATATATGTTAAAAAAAAAAAAAAAAAAAAAGTAAGACTGTTACAAAAAGAATACAAGAATATAGCATATATGATGATGCTGTTTGACTTGTTATGAAAAGGAGAAGCGTGAGAAGAGGGAGAGCCCAGATCCAGGGGTTTCACTTGCAACTGGGCTGGGTGGAACATCTGTAGATGGCCGATACGCGTTTTGACACTTTTGAAACTGCATTTCATTTCATTTAAATCTCATAAGAACAGCTCCTCCATATTTTCCCTTTTAACAATTTTGGTCAAATGGATAATATACATAAAACCTTAACAGCTGAAATAATTTTCTCACCTCATCAGGGCTGAATTGAAGGAGCATTGCAATAACAGGTAGTAGAGCCCCCACTTCACCTATAATTCACACCAAAAATATATATATATATACATAAATCAAGAGCTCATAGTTTTTTTTTAGTTATGTAGTAGAAATAAAATATACCTGTTTCAAGAAGCTTTACTATGACATTTTTAAGATATGTCATATCCACTCCTTCCCTCTTTTGTGATCTTTCCATGTTCCGAAGCTCTTCCTTTAACATAGCTTCCTGTGGGTTAAGTTGTTAATTGTTATTATAAATATAACTTTTTTTTTTAATTAAAAAGAAAAATCTAAAGTTAAAATACCTGTTGACCGTGAAGACGATTTTCGCGTTCAAGCTCTTCAAGTTCCTCCTGGAAGATCAACAAAGTACATAACAAACTTAAATGAGGTTTTTAAGTCATTATTTTTTTATTATTAAGTCAAAAAAAAACTTACTTGAAGTGCAAGAATGTGTCTCTGAGACTGGGCTAGCTCTTCCTCCCTTTGAGCTTGTTGCCTAGCCAATATCTGAATTCCAATTTTTTTTTTTTTTTTTTTTTTGTTAACTACTAAATAATTTTATCGATATGTTCGTACAGAATATAAAAACAGAACAAATGTCTAGGGTTTGAAAAAAAAAAAAAAAAAAAGTGCATACCAATATCTGTTGTTCTGCAACTGAGGTGTTTGGAGAATCCTGTCCTGTGAAACCTATAAAATTGAATTCCATGTAGAAATCAACAATCAATATTAGATTTCTAACTAGATAAAAAGACAGACAAGGGTATCAAACAATAATCATACCCATATTATGGCCATTCTCATTGTTGTTTGCCTGAAAATAGCAATAACAATAACAAGGGTATTTAAGGAAACGAAAAAAGATAACAAAATGAACATCATGATAGATTCTTATTTTGAGGGAAAAATAAATACCGATGGCTTTGATGATAATGAACGAACAAGATTCTTATTGTTGTCTACAAGTCTTGAAATCTCCATGTCCTTCTCTTCAATCATCTTATCAGCAAGCTCACGAAATGAATCATGTTCTTCCTATAAAAATAAATAAACAATTTAAAATTAGTCTCAGACATATAATTGTAACGAATATGAAATATGAATATCACCTTTAATTTTTTATATCGTGTTTGGACATCTTGTACTTCTTTTTGTAGAGTTTCATCAGGTGTTGACTTTTGTTGTTCAATTTCAGCCTTCAGCGCCTGGAATCTCACTGTAGAATAATTTATTTTGTCATTAACAAGAATTAACAAAAAGTTTTTTTTAAAGTAAATTAAAAATTGTTTAATTACATTGCCAGGTTTCTTCCACATTTTGAAGATTCTTCTCCCAGATTTCTTTCTCGGATCGATGGCTAGAAATTGCAGAAGAGAGCTTCATTTCCATGTTCTTCACCTGTTGCTCAACAAGGCTAAGAGCTTCATCTCTGAAATAAATAAATAAATAAATAAATAAAATTAGACATAAGATAATGTTTAAAAAACAACTTTCTGAACCAAACAGGAAAGTAATGCCACCTGGCACTGAGTTCTTTGTCATGATGAGTTAGAGCATTTTCAAGATCATGGAGGGTTTTGTCCCTTTCAGCAGATACTATCACTATTTCATTTTCAGCCTCCTGTATAAACAATATGTGAGTAGATCTGTGTGCCACATCATCACACAGAAGAGAAAAATATATACACCTTTAGTGCTTCTTCAAGGGCTTTAAGCTGTTCATTATCTTTAGCAGATGCCAGCTCAGCATCCTTTTTCTGAAGAAGTGCATGTGCACGAGCTTTATACGAAGCAAATTCACTTTCTAGACGTTTTATCTGAATAATAATAAAAAATTTATTATACACAATTTTATTAAATAATAGATGACACAGGAGAATAAAATATAAATAGTTAAATACCTCCTCTTTAGCAGTTATTAACTCGGACTCTTTGGTGTTTGACTGCTGACTCAGCACAGATAGTTCTAGAGCCATCTGACCTGTGGGTTACCATTGTTACTTCCATTTAAAGGGCAAGAACTGAAAATAACAAGTCAAAGAAAGGGTATATATGTACTTTTCATTTTGGCTGCTTCAATTTCAGCACGTATACAGTTAGCCTCAGCAATCTCAAGCTTCCTGCTGAGTGCCTGAGTGGTGGCTTCCCATTTTTCTTTCTCTTTCTCCTAAAAATTAGGAAAACCAATTGAATAAAAAACATTTAAAAAAAAAAAGGAAAAGGATTCTCATTGAAGTATATATAGAGTTCATACGTGTTCATTTTTCAGGTGAGTAATTTCCCCTTTAATAGTCTCCATGGCAGCTTTAAGCCTTGCAGCTTCACCACTTGAAGCTGCATCCATCTCTGCCAGTTTTGACTCTTTTTCTGCAACAAGTTTCTAAAAAAGGAAAATGATCAAATGTTTAACAACTTAAAGATATAATATATATATAACTTGTTTACCTGTAGAGAAGATATTGTTTCAGTTGCTTTTGTTCTATCTGCTGATGAGTCAGCAAGTTGAGCTTCCAAATTTGCTATTTGCTTTTGATGTTTTGAAGAAAGTTCAGCCATTGAAGCTTGCCTCTTTTCTTCTGCTCCTTGTAATAGCCCTTTCATGTTCTCTAACATCTGTTCATACAAAATACATCACTTTCCTGTATAAAGCTAAAACTAGTTTGACTTTTCAATACCTGTTCTTTTTCTACAAGCGACTGTTGCAATGTCTCAATGGTATTCTCTTTGGGCTCCAAAGAACGTCTCAGCTCTTCAATATTGTCCCGAAGTCTAATGTGAGTCAAATAGTCAACAGTCAAAAGAAAGATTGACAGAAAAGAACACATGGAAGCTTTCTATCTGAAATTCCAGAAATACCCTTTTAATGTACCTATTGTTTGCACTTCGAAGTTGTTGTCTTTCTACATCAATTGCTTTGAGTGCCTCATTAGCATGCTGACGTGTGCGATCAAGCTCCTGCTGTAATCCTGACAGCTGTAATGAAGCTTGCTCTGACTTTTCATTGACTTCTTTATATTTGGCCTCAATGTCATCTTTCTCCTGGAAAAGATTGTCTCCACAAACCAATCAGAATCAATACACAAACAGGAATTAATATCTTGGATACTGTTAAAGGGGCCCACAAACAAAATTACCTTCTGAACCTCTTGAATTCTTTGTTTTGCTCGCTTGTGAAGCCTATTCAACTTGGAATCAAGTTCAGAATTCTTCTCATCACGCTCTTTTACCTGTTGCTCCAGATTCTTTTCAACTGTATGCATAAAAAGTAGTATGAATTTATGCTAAGATTAAAAAAAAAAAAAGTAACAGTAGCGAAGGGTAAACAGGTAATTTATACAACCTTCAGCTAGTTTAGCAGCAAGCTCTTGGCATTTGGCATCTGCCTCTGAGTATTCTATACGAAGATGTTCCAAAGCTGCCTCTGCAGCAGCTCGTGTTTGTCTTTCTTCTATTAGTTCTTTGTTCAAGGATGCTATTTTGTCATGCAACTCTTTTGAATCTTCATGTGTCTCATCTTGTTCAATTGTCTTTGTTTGTTGGATAGAACCAGTTGAATCTGTGTATAGATTCTTCAAATCATGGAAATGAGACTTAAAGTATTCATTCTGAAATTTGAGTTCTGCCACCGTTTGCATTAGATGATCTTGAGTGTCATCAGAAATGGGGTTAGGGTTACCATTGGATAAAATGTTATCCTCTTTTGAATTTCCAATATCTTGAGGACTCATGTCGTTTGATTTTGCATAAGGTGGTATAGCATCTCCAACATGATTTTCCACCCTCTTGTCAACATCACCTCCCCCTTCTGACATTATCTTGTAGTTTCTAAAATATTGTGATGTGTTTTGAAGATGGTGATTCCTGTATCTACTCTATCAGCTTGATATAGATTAAAACTAGAATGACATGATTCCTGCATAAAACAAGTTCTTCCTTTGTAAAGAAACAGCATAAGGCTGTAAAGAGCATACATGTGCTTCAATCAAATAAGAACACCCAATATGAGATTGCAAACATTTGGATCATGGAAATTGACAACCAGTGTAGCAACATATACTGAGATTAACTCGAATTCCAATACTAAACCAAAGAATCGGGATTTCCAAACATATAATGGTATTAAAATTATGTATATCATGGTGTTGGAGGCTCGATTCCATGGTTTGTAATTGGTTGCAACTTGAGGTAAATTAGCTTCAATCCAATTCCAGACTCCAAAACCCTGCCTTAACTCACAAACAAGTTTGAACCCTCCTACAATAACAAATCAACATTGTCCCTAATATTACATCAAACCACGTGCAACGGCTAATATCAGTGACTAGTTGATTCATTCCATAGAAAATTGATTTATAGCAACACCCTAGCAGAATATAAAACACACCAGATTGAAAATCAAGCCTGCAACTACAGTAACAAGTTAATAATGCTGACAATTGGGATTTGTTGTTCCATACAGAGTGTTGCCGGTAGACAACTTTGCATAATGATATAGATAGTGAAGAACATTTGAAATAATCTAACCTTATTCTCCTGGATACACGAGATCACAACCAGCCAACAACTCGAAATTCGAAATTCGAATCGGGGTGATTGATTGGTCAATCAAGATCTATATTTCGTGATTTTTCGGATACCTAACGGATCTAAACACCACCACCCCCTCTATGAATCAATCAAACCGTATTTATCAAAAAAATTGTGATTGAATAAAGGGGTGGAGATTCGGAGGGCATAAACTCTATGAAGCGTATGTTATCACGATTCGCATTTGTGAAAAATGGAAACTTTCAGTGGCACTAGATTTTCGTTTTACGTATGATCCCCGAGTCACGAGTTCAACTCAGATGTACACCAAAGGCAAGTCGACACTTTTCACCCTTCAAATTTAACAAACGGGTCAATTCTTGACCAAAATTAAGATTTTTATAGATGTGTTAAATTTGGCTACCACCTATAACAATTTATCCCTTTTCTGTAAACTTTTTTTTTTTTTTGGGATCCGGCTTTCCTCTTGCAGTTTTTGCTATAATAAAATTGGTTTTATTATTTACTATGTATAAAATATGTATAAAATTCATATATTAAATAAGTTCATTTAAAAGAAAATTTAAATATGAAATTCCAAACATTTGAAAAGTTTGAATTTGTAAGAAAAATTAAAGAAGTATCGAATTATTAAAATTAAAATGTTTTTTTTTAATTTAAACAAAAAATTTAATTTTGAAATTTTGAAATTAAAAGGAAGTCATTTAATGAAATTGATATGTATTTATCATTACATTTATTATAATTATTACATTTAAATATTATATGAAATTTTATAAAATGGAAAAAACCATAAAATACCATGTAGAAAAAATTTAATTGAAAATAACCACAAAATGGTATGTGGTTAAATCAACAAGAGTGTGACAAGTGACAAAAAAATCATTTATTAGAGAGGATTTCTTTTAAGACAAAACTTCAAAAATGATCTCTGAGGTTTTCGAAAATATCAAGTTTAATTCATAAGTTCAAAAAACCTCACAGATGGTCCATGTGGTTTCAAAACTTTTAACATTTGATCCTTCCGGCTCACTCCGTTACCATTTAGGCGTTAAATAAAGGGTATTTTTATCATTTCACTACCCAGGGACCATTTATGAGGTTTTGTATTAATTTTTTTAAATAAATAAATAAAATTTAATATGCAAGGGGTCCTACCTCTCTCTCTCTCTCTCTCTCTCTCTCTCTCTTTCTTATCCCCAAATCGATCAAATTGCAAGAAGATAAAAAAAATAAAGCTCCGGTGGTTCATCTTTCGTGCAAAGGGGAAGAAGAGCCCAGAGGCCAATCAGATGGATCCATGGAGGGATTTAATCGCAAATAGGATTGTCACATCCGGAATTTCAGGTATTATATTTATTCATTTTATTTTGAGTTTTGAGGAAGAAATCGGCGAGTTGGTGCGTAGACTCGCCGAGTAGAGACGAGATTTCTCATCCGGATTAATGACTGGACTCGACGAGTCGCATTGTTGGACTTGGCGAGTCCGCGCTGTTTAATGAAACCCTAATTTATCGGGTTTGGGGCCTATTTAAAGGGCCTTATGGCTGTCATTTGTGCTTACCAGGCCCCATAGCGAAACCCTAATGCACTTGAGCGTTTGAAGTGAGAGAATGAGCCATTATCAACCTTGGAGGTGTTGTCTAGCAAGGGAAATGAAGCTTTAGCCAAGAGGAAGCAAGAGGGTTAACATCCTGAAGATTTAAGGTCCAGAACATCACATTTGAGGTACTATTTTCGAGCCATTTTCTATTAAGGTGATGTTCATGTTGATTTAGGGTTTATTGAGCCCTTTTGTGGCTAGATCTAGTGCTCCCATGGTCCCTTAAGTGAGTTAGGTTCTGGATCTGGACCCTTGGAGGTCCAGAGTGTCCCTTTGTCCAAGCTTTTTATGAATCCATGGAGGTTTTGGTTTGGGATCTTTGTGCTTGAGGTCAAAACACCATTTATGAGTCATTAGGTGTGATATGAGCGCCAAGACATGAACTTTACGTGATAAATAAGCTTGGAAGGACTGGATCTATGAGTTAGTGGAACAGATCTGACCTCAGAAGGTCGTTTGGGGTTGTGCATGGAATGCACTCGCGAGTCCATTGGCAGACTCGACGAGTTGGTGCGGGTTGTTCAGGATTTCGAACCAGGGGTTGAGTAACCGAGTTGGGTGAGTGACTCGGTGAGTCGGAAGGGACTCAGAGGAATCGGGTCCCCATAGAGACTCGGCGAGTTGGGGTTGACCGTTGACCATTGACCAGAGTTGATCGGTGTTGACTTGATAGGGTTAGTCAACCTTAGTTGGGAAGTGTTAATTGGAGATGTATTGTGTTATAGGAGGACTATAGCTCGGGAGATCGAGCACTAGTGATTTCAGGGATTTACGAGTTACCGAGATACGCGAGGTGAGTCTTCTCACTATACTTTACCTTAAGTAGGTAAAAAGAGTTATGTGATACAGTGTTTTATATCTATTGTTGTTGTACTGCATTCTTCTATGTGATTTATGTTGTGCATGCTTGCAGAGTTAGAACCTGAGGGTTCACAGAGTTTGGGTGCACGGACCCACAGAGTTATAGCCTCGAGTGGCTAATATGTGTTATATGTGGTATTTTGGGGAAATCACTAAGCTTCGTGCTTACAGTGTTTTGTGTTATGTGTTTCAGGTTTCTCTCAGGATCACGGGACGGCACCAGCTTGATTGTACACATCAGCGAAAGAGTCATGTTTTGAGGATCCTGGTTTATTATGCAAGTGAAAATGGAGTCATGTTTTTGTAATTTGATTATGAATGAGATTTTAAGAAAAGTGTTTTTAAGAATTAAACCATTATATTTAAATGAAAAATTGTTTTAAAATTTACGATGTTACAAGTTGGTATCAGAGCCTTGGTTTGAGGGATTCTGATGCACCTTTGGGTAAATCTGGACTCAAACTGAGGAAGTAAGAAAAGTTTTCAAAGAAATAATTTTCTAAAGCGAATAAGAGTTCAAAGAGAAAGCGAGAAAGAGCATTGTGTACAATCAGCCAGAGCCCGAACGGTGATTTCCCAAAATACCATTGCTTTTGTGTTATGAGGTAATTATGATACACTTTATGAGATATTATTGCATGCTAGAGACAGGCTAGGTATTTCATATCTTAGGACTAGAGTGGCCTGATTTGTGATGCCTTAGCCTAGGAATTGTTGTTATATGCGATGTGCTTTTGAGTATGTGATGAGTGGGAATATTTAGATGGAATCCTTTAGGGGGATTTGAGTAGAGGAGTAATCTCGGGGAGATACCTAGATGAGTACCGTGGTACTTAGCGAAAGAATAGTTAGAACCCGCGAGGGGAAGAGTTGCAGAGTTCGGTGGTACTTTCGAGGATGAGCAGAGCAAGTGGAGTTATCACCCAGAGTGAGTCCTATGTATTCTTCAATGCTCGAATGTTGCTTGCTTCGTGCTTCGTGGAACTCTCGATGATGGGAATCAGCTACCTAGCGAATATGACGATATTCAGGAGGTAGATGGATGGCCTCATTAGGAGCTCTTCAGCAGCCGATGGCAGAGAAGTGTGGGAATCTAGGAAGAGCCTAGGGAGTAACCTTAGCCATATGAGTGTGCTGGCAGAGTAGAGAATTTCGTTGGGGAGTGAGCACGCGCGACGGAATTGGTGAACGAGAAGGTCGAGCAACTACTTAGGAGCTCCGGGATAGTCCGTGTGGAAAGTATGAGTAGATGTGGCAGGTAGTATGGGCCCGTACTACTGAAAGCAGAGGATCCATACTTGATACAGGGAGTATTCTGAAGGTTCTAATGAGCGGAATGAGGAGTGATGTTATGGTTCGAGTATCATACATCGGAGCAAATGGAGGAGTGATGTTATGGTTCGAGTACCATACATCGGATCAGATGGAGGAGTGATGTTATGGTTCGAGTAGCATACATCGGAGCAAATGGAGGAGTGATGTTATGGTTCGAGTAGCATACATCGGAGCAAATGGAGGAGTGATGTTATGGTTCGAGTACCATACATCGGAGCAGATGGATGAGTGATGTTATGGTTCGAGTACCATACATCGGAGCGGATTGAGGAGTGATGTTATGGTTCGAGTACCATACATCGGAGCGGATCGAGGAGTGAAGTTATGGTTCGAGTACGATACATCGGAGTGGATGGAGGAGTGATGTTATGGTTTGAGTACCATACATCGGAGCAGATGGAGGAATGATGCTATGGTTCGTGTACCATACACCGGAGCATATTGAGAAAAGATGTCATGGGACGAGTACCATGGTTCCTAGTGAATGATGCTCGTAGTTCTTCGGTTATCCGGTCATGATTGATGAGGTAGAGCCTTTCAAAGTATTTTGGTAAGGAGCCAGAAGGAGGGAAAAGTTTCAGTTTGAGTTGAGCAATCAATCGATCGAGGAGATGTCACCTTCTATGACCTGGGTGGTAAACCCTGCAGGTTGTTTAAGTTTTGGGTTTGGGGGTAAACCCTGCAGGTTGTCATTGAGGATGACTTTCCATCAGAGTATCAGGTAGCAGGTGTGCCGCGAGGCAGTAATTTACCATGAGCAGATAGTCAGTTGGGACTGTGATAGTCGAGGACCACGTTACACCTATTTGAGTATAGTAGGGCGTATTGTAGAGGTATCAGTAGGGAGTCCAGTCGATTTTATCAGTGCAGTGGTTTTCTATCTATGATTGGTTATTGAATATGGGAGTGGGTCCCTGTTCTTGGGAAGATCCATGTGATGGAACGTCGGTTGATGAGTCGAGATGGGGGAGTATGATGATTTCGTGGACCAGTCTATGAGGTAGTGATGTTATTGGACAGTTGAGTTGTTTGGTTTTGGATTGGTACGAGACTTGGAACGACTAGAGGCAGTCGTGACGAGAAGTTCTTTAGGATTTCATCTGAGGTTCAGAGTATATGAGATCGATTGATTTCCTTAAAGGGGATTATCAGGCATTGCGTAGCACTTTCCAGGGGCAGGTGCATTATTGCTGGTGAAAATAGTTTGTGAGATTGTTGATGTGTCAGATAATGATGGTTCGAACCCTAAGTGGGGGAGAACCGGATGGTTTATCGAGAGAACCAGAGATTTGTGCAAGAGCAGTTAGGAGATTGAATACAAAAACCTGCGGCTTGAATTCATGAGATCAGGGTCATTGGTGATCAAGGAAAGGTGCAGCGCGAAATAATGCATGTGGTATATGTCTGAGAGAAGGATGGGTGTCTCCACGACGGGTGGTCAATGGTCAGGAATCTGGTGGTGGTTAGAGTCGTTTCAAGCGGAAGACTTGTAATGATGGTATGGGCAGTTGAGAACTTCTGGGTTGAAATATGGGTAGAAGATTGTTGAGTAGCCAACTCTCGGGCTGGGATGTGTATTCT